GCCGACAGTTTTTTTCTCCTGAGCCCTCCAAACCACAAAAACCACCATCAACTATATTTTTATGCCTTAAGCTCAGGAGTTTTTTTTTCACTGCTGGTCGGATTTGTGTTTAATCGCTTCCCTTGACAATGCCTGTAAACTGCATTAAATTAAAATTTAGATAATTAAAATTTATTTAATACTGACTCGATAAAACTTTTATTTTCCTCATCCTTCCCAGACAACTTTTTCTATGACACTGAGAAAGGGCCACCGGGAATTTAGCACGCCGCTATTAAATTTCCGTATCTGTTCACGTTTCCTTCCTTTATGAGTAGTCTCGCTACCTAAGATCCCTCACGAGAAATGTTAATTATTCCAATTTTTTAGTTCATGCATCGTGCCCTCACAGAATGCGCACCATTGACGCTCTTGGCGAAACCTTCTGTATTCGCCATATACTAGTAGTTTGGTCGCATCTCCCTTCCTCCATCCTCGGTTGGACTCGGATGAATGTAACCGACCGCATCTGGTTTCCTATCGCCTCGGGACTGATCTTCATGATGCCCTCACTGAATGCGCTCCATCGATGCTCTTGGCGAAGCCTTCTATATTAGCCATATACTAGTAATCTGGTCGCATCTCCTTTGCTCTATCCTCGAATGGACTTTGATGAATGTAACAGACCGCATATGGGTTCTTGTCGCCTCGAGACTGGTTGTCATCGTGCCCTTACAGAATGCGCTCCATCGGCGGTCTTGACAAAGCCTTCTATATTCGCCATATACTAGTAGTTTGGTCGCATCTCCCTTCCCCCATGTTCGGATGGACTCGGTTGAATGAAACCGACCGCATCTGGGTTCCTATCGGCTTGAGACTGGTTTTCAATTTCGCCACTTATTTTTCTTATTCAAGGCGATACAGGCCAGTCCTGACCTACCCGCCTACCTACCATTTTATGAAATCCGTTACACAATGCCATATACAGCTGACATTTATTTCGGCCATGTTGATGTCGGACTATATTCCATTTTGTACCGCCACATGCAGGCTAGTCCTCCCTGTTTTTTTCTGATGCTATTTTTCTGAGGGTTTTTTTTCTCCTGTTAAATTACTACAATCATTTTTAAATTTTGCTTTGGAGTTTTTTTTTTCACCCCTCGTTTTTTTCATCTTCATTTTGCTTAACGGACTTCTAATCTCAAAAACTATGCATTGCACTTTGTGCAGATTTTGCCTACATCGTCCAAAATTTGCATGTAAATTTTCTACTTGCTTTGATGGGACCCCGACGGGTCTTTAATAAAAATAATTGAATTGAATTGAATATTTTCGAGTACGCTCGAGGTGCAATTGCTTGCGTTTGCCAGTGCGGACGTCCAGACCTACTCATTACATTTACATGCAATCCAGCTCAAGGGATGCTTATCAGCTCTTAACTCCTGGCTATCGACGGTAAATAGGTATGACATCACAGCACGTAGTTTCAGGAAGAAACTGCAATCGCCGATGAACTTCATGGTGAAACACGAGGTGGTTGATTCTGTGCGCTGCTGGATGTATTAGATGGAACAGCAAAAAAGGGGACTTCCCCATGCAAATTTCCTGGTCTGGCTCTATAACGCGATCGCCTCCAACGAAATCGACGACACAGTATGCGCGGAATTACCTGATATCGACGTCGACAGTGATTTGCATGAAGTTGTGGCAAAGAATATGATGCATGGACCTTGAAAGCACTGAATCCCAATTCTACAACCCCCCATCCACCCGGCATGATAGACGGAAGTCCCTAATACCGAAAATGATAGCGGAAGACTTCGGCAAAGAAAAACATCTTTGGACATTTTCAATTTTTAAACGACTAGCCTTATTCATCAAACCAAAGAATGAGCAACAATACTCAAGAGTGGGAAGTACAAGCATACGATAGAGCCTTAATTTAATTTCAGAAAGATAGAAATTGTAAGAAATAAAGCCACAAATCTGGGCAGCTTAGGCTGTAATTCTGTCAGCGTGTGGCGAGAGATCAGGATTATTGGTGTAGCTTAAACCTAAATCCTTAATGGTGGTACATTCAGTCATAGGTGTACCTCGAAAGACCACTGGTTCGGGTAGCCTATCAGGTCCAAAACACATATAACGAGATTTAGACGGAGAGAATTCCATTAGCCATTTTGAGCTCCAAGCTGAGAGAACAAGCAAGTCAGCATGGATTTTCTCCAGGCAATGAAGGCTCGTAAATTTTTTTGAAAGAATATACACATTTGAGATCATCGGCATAAATAAATGATTGAGAATGTTTAACTGCTGAAGAAATATCATTTATATTAAGCAAGAACAAAAGGGGAACTAAAACGGTACCTTGTAGGACACCACTTACAATAGGGCCTTCACTGGAAAGTGAAGATCCCACTAAAACCTTTTGTTTACGATCAGACAGTTATGACCTGAGAAAGTCTTTTAGTTGACTTCGAATTCCCATAGCTTCTAATTTAACCCAGAATCTTTTATGTGGTACTTTATCAAAGGCTTTACTAAGATCAAAATAAATAACGACAACAGATAAATGGTCATTACGAAGAGAGGTAAGTAGATCGAGAAACGACAGATGACATGTTTCACGATAGCGATCTGGTAAAAAACCATGCTGGGAAGGGCTAATAACTTGGCTACGCAAAACTCAGTAATTTTTACGGCGATAATTTTTTCAAAGATTTTGGTGAGAGAGGGTGTCTTATGGACACCTCGATAGTTCTGTACGTCAGAACGACAACCAGACTTAAATACTAAAATAATAATAGAAGTTTTCCAATAGTCAAGGAAGAAGCTATTTACGAGAAATACTGAAAAGATTTTGTTAAGCACAGGAGGAAAATCTCATAGGTGTTTTATAAAAGAGTTTGGGATATTGTCCGTACCTACTGAGTGAGAGTTAGGAAGATGGTCTATCAGTTTTTGAATACATTCGGGAGAAAAATTAATGATGCCAAGAGAAGCATCAGACAACGGAGGAATTAAAGGGATTAGGTCAGTTTCAAAGTGAAATGTTTGGCAAAGAACGAATTTAAAATTTCCGCTTTGCCTGACTCCTCGGTAATGAAGGCATCGCTATCAACAAGCAAAGACGGAATGGCTTGGCGGGACTTAGCCGATGATCTTTGACAGAAGAGCTGAGCAACTGATTATGAAGCATTCATGTCATTAATGGCTAAAGACTCTCTTCGCCTATCTTGCGCGAGCCTCATTTCGAAGCTATTTCAAATATTTCAACGATTCTGAGATGAACTGATAATGAGCTCACAGAACGATATTTTACTGTTTCCGTAACTTTTTAAGTCTGTTTTTAAGAAAGTGTGGGACAGCGGTGGAATTAGCCCTCGATTTGAAAATCTTTCGAGAAATAAGTTCAAGAAGACCTTCTGTTACGCATTGCAATAAATTGTTGAAAAAATATTGTGCCAATCAAGAGCGCATGTAAAGTTATTTACTAATTCCTTGTTATCATTAGCAAAGTCAAAAATACTACGTTGTACTGTTGGCTTTGCGGAAATGGCAACTGGAAGGCGACAATGGATTAATGCATGATCACTTGCAAAAAGGTCATGATAGAAACCCATAGTGTCATTAATTCACAGTTTTCATATCCGCCTCCAAATTTTTTTAATGTACCGTCGAAAATAGCACTGCCGTTCGAAACACATTAGATATTATATTATTGAATGCCAGGTCTGTTATAAACAAGATGGCCCAAATCAGAGCCATTGCTCTCGAAATGACGCCTGATATTACATGTGTAACCGAATCTTGGACCGATTCTCTAATTCCTGACTCTGCCCTTCTCATAGATGACTTCGATTTTTACCGCCAAGAGCGCACGACTAGGCGTGGGGGTGGTTGTCTTCCTTATCTTAAATCCTACCTAAAGCACTCTCCCTATTATTTGGATGTTTCCTCATTCACGGGAAACCTCTGCTTTGCATCTGTTATTCTCTCGCTACAAAGAAAGGCAATTATTGACTGTATCTACAATCCCCCAAATTCTTTAGCCAGTGACGATTCACAACTCTGTGAAATTTTTAAATTAATTTCGGAAGCTGCTTTCGATGTTAAAATAATCACTGGGATTTTAACCTTCCTGAAATAGACTGGGATTCCCATAGCTGTCCAGCCAGATTCCACCCCTTTCAAGATATTGTCAATTTTTCCATTTGGTCCCAACTGGTGCGCTCTCCAACAAGAGATAATCACATTTTAGATCTACTCTTCACCAATGACATTGCTCCTCTTTTTGTCGCTTCCGAAAAGGACCTCTTTGATAGTGACCACGTATTAATAAATTGTTGCCTATCGCTTGCCTTTTCAAAAAAGACCAGCGTCCTTCGGACTTACATGAACTACGACTGCGTAGATAACGACTTAATAAATAACAATATTAGATCATTGGATTGGTGTGGCTTCCTCACTTGTAGCGATGTAACCATTCTTCGTGATGTCATGTCCAATGTTTCCAAAGACATCCTAGAGTTCGTGCCGCGTGGATATCTCAAGCCTAATTCTTCAGATTCCCTTGTTCCTCATTTTTTTTCACCACAGACTAAAAATGTTTAGGCGACAGCTGCGTGACCCATCCACTAGTTCCTTATCAGTTCATCTTAGAATCACCACCAGAAAACAAAGTGTGACCGCCGTTTGACCTGAACCACACATCAAACTGGCGACTTAGTTATACACAACAACTCGATATCTCCGCGAGGAGTGTCAACAATTTTCATTACCCGTGGCAAGGCCCTTTGTCTTCTTAGATAGCTCGTCCTTCATGACTTTAGATAGAGAAAATCCAAATATCTCCTACTCAGACACATGCCAGCTAAGTAACCTAAAATTTTTATGAGTTTGAAGACTAGAACCGGCCTTTGTCTCCTCTTTCGCATTAATATTAGTTCAAATCTTCTTCGAATTTCAGCCTTTACCCCTAGTAGTCGCCCATACAGTCTTCGCAATTCGTCCTTGATTATACCTCCTCCAGCATCCTCCACCTCTAAGCGTTCCATTTTTTCGCTTCCAGATATACTTTCCTCTGGAATAACCTTCCAATAAATATAAGATCTTCAGGTCATCTACATACCTTTAAGAGAAAATTACGCATTTATGTGAATTCTGACTCGATTAAAGTTTATCTTCCTCATCCTTCCCGGACAACTTTCTCTTTGACACTGAGAAAGAGTCACCGGGAATTTCGGACGCCGCCATTAACTTTCCGTATCTGCTCACATTTCCTTCCTTTGTGGGTCGTATCGCTTTCCAAGATCCCTCACCAGAAATGTTAATTTTTCCAATTTTTCAACTCACGAATCCTGCCCTCACAGAATGCGCTCCATTGTCGCTCTTGGCGAAACATTCTGCATTCGCCATATACTAGTAGTCTGGTCGCATCTTCCCTGCCCTCTCCTCGGATGGACTCGGCTGAATTTAACCGATCGCATCTGGGTTCCAATCGTCTCGTGACTTGTTTTCAATTCGCCACTTTGACATGAATGGTCTCATCCGGCATATGAATTCTGCCTTGATGATACCCGTTTCGAACCTTTTATTCAAGGTTACATACAGGCCAGTCCTACCTGACCCGCCTACTTATCCCGTCATGAAATCCATTATACAATGCCATATATAGCGAGGATTTTCGCGGTTCTTGATACCATCTCCCACATTTCGACCTCACGCAGTCTGTCGATGCTCACGGCGGAACCCTCAGTATTCGCCGTCTACTAGTATTTTGGTCGTACCTCCCTTCCCCACTCCTCGGCTGGGCTTGAAGCGTACTGTGGCCGATCGCGTCTGGGTTCCTCTCGTCTGGCCTCTTGGACGCGAATAGTCTCATGCGGCGTATCGATCCGGCCCAGACGATGTCAGTTGTGAATCCCGTATACAATACCACATGCATGCCAGTCCTGTCTGACCCGCATAGGTACCCCTCAAGCTGACATTTATTGCTCCCCTGACGATGTCCGACTGTAATCCGTTATGTACCGCCACATACAGGCCAGTCCTGCCCGCATCACTCTGTCATTGTTTTTTATTGAGGGGTTCTTTTCCCCTGTAAAATTAATTCAATCATTTTTAACTTTTTGTATGGAGTTTTTTTTCACCCCTCACTAATCAATTTTCTCAATGGACTACTAATTCAGAAACTATGAATTGCATTTTGTAAAGATTCTGTCGATCTCGTCTAAAATTCGCATGTAAATTTATTTTTACTTGCTTTGATGGGACTCCGGCGCGTCTTTTATAAAAAATTATCAATTATCAATTTCTTTCGGAAACCCGCTGTGCACTCGGGAACTACCGCGGGACCACCGGCACAAGAACATCAGGAAAGGTGTCAGGAGATAAAGACCACTCCTTAGACGCCTTTGTGAATCTGATGAAGGCTTTCGGAACCGTGGCTCACGATTAACTGTGGAAGATCATGCTAAATTCGTATATCTGGAAAGCCTTTTAGCTTCAGCAACCCTAAAGTTGAAGCCGCATGAAAAAAGGAAATGAAAGGCGACATCTATTGTCTGTCTACTCTCAGGAACATTTTTTAATATAAAGTTGAAACTTCGTTTGTGCCTGTCCTCAGTCTCAGTCGCAACCAGGTTAGTGAGAGGCATGAGCTACTCACACTGCTGAGAAGTAAGCGTTGGCAACTTTCCGTCAAGAAGGGCACCAAGGACAGAAAAAATTGATCCGCAACGAGGCATAAAGTTGTTAAAATCATCAAGCGCCCCTAGATCAATTTTTTTATAGGAACAATGGGTTTCAGATGAAGTTTAGTTTCTTTCAGATTTCGACGAAGGGTTGCCTGAAGTTTCATGCCGAAAACGCAATACGAGACTTAAGTCCAAATATTTATATGGATGATAACTGCCGAAACTTCGAGGATATATGGATGAGGCTATGTATGATGAAATGATTTCTGAAAGCTGCCAGTATTGGTGGACCAGACAGCACAATTTATACTAAGCAACTGGAATAGTGGGCGAAAGTCCTAGACGCATCGAACTTAGTTCTCTGTTAGCCGCAAATCGCAAAGTGAAATTTCTATATACAAATGTGCAGAGTATGTTATCGAAAGTTGACGAGCTCAAGATCCATCTATTTCATCTATCCCCGGATATAATCTCACTTACAGAAACTTGGCTGAACCAGCAGGTAGACAACCGTGAGTTAACTATACCAGGATACCAGCTGTTTAGAAGAGACAGGTCAGGACGTCAGGGCGGAGGCGTACTCACGTATGTAAAACACGGGCTTATGGTCTCAGACAAAACCGATAAACTTTCGTGTACTTCTGAGGCTATTTGGCTAACTATAAAAGCACCGGGTTCACCTAGCCTTGACAGCCTGACGGTCTACCGACCGCCGAGAAATGATCCCACAGCGGACGCCCGTCTGATTGAGGACCTGGAGAGATTCTCTATCCGGTCCGAAGTCTTAATCATGGGGGACTTCAACGCACCTCTTATCGACTGGAGTTCAGCTTATGCATCTGGTCCAGACCATTCTTTCGACCGACGTTTGCTGGACATGACCTTCAAGTTATTTCTCACTCAGCACGTCTCCTTTCCGACGAGGGTGCGCGAAGGGCAACAGTCAAACTGTCTGGATCTGCTCCTTATGAAGTCACTGGACAGCGTTGATGAGGTGCAATGTCTACCCCCCCTAGGTCGAAGCGATCACGTCGTACTGCTGTGGGAGTACTCCATTTTTTCTCTGCCCGAACAGGCCACCAGGGTTAGAAGGAACATTTGGCGCGGTGACTTTGCCCAAGTGAAAGCTGAACTAAAAACCATAAACTGGGAATCAGCTTTTTCCGGTGACATAATCAAGGATTGGGACTGGTTTAGTGAGTTACTGCACGTTCTTCTCAGAGACCACTGTCCTATTTCACGGAAGAAACTAAATTGCAGACCCCCGTGGCTAACACAAGCTTTAAAAAAAGAAGTGAATAAAAAGCGGAGGTTATGGAGGAAATTCCTCTCGGATAGGAGCTATGTGTCGTTAAATGCATACAAAGCACAGAGGAACCTAGTTAGGAGGTTAATCCTCGGGACGCGACGTACTTTCGAGAAAGACCTACTGAATCGAGCCGCAGAAAATCCGAAGTTCTTCTATGGTTACATAAGAAGAAGCACACGAAACAGAGAACCAATCCCGTTATTGAAAACTAGTGACGACCTAGAACTCAGTGAAGACGGAGAAAAGGCAGAGCACCTTTCACAGTTCTTTAAGTCCATCTTTACGAAGGAAAGCGCATTTCTCCCTCCCGACTGCGACATAGTGGACGCGCCAACGATTGAGCACGTCTCTTTCGCCGAAGCTATTGTTCGCAAAGAACTGTTGAAGTTGAATGAGTCTAAATCACGTGGGCCGGATGACATACCGCCCAAATTTTTGAAGGAACTTGCTGGAGAACTATCCAAACCGATGTCCATGCTCTTCCAAGCTTCGTTCGAAGCAGGCTATTTGCCCTCCGATTGGAAATCAGCGCGGATCACGCCAATTTATAAAGGCGGCAGCAAGGTCTTAGCAAACAACTAGAGACCAATCAGCCTTACTTCAATTTTCTGCAAAATTATGGAGAAAATAATAAAGCGAGAAATAATGCACTTCCTAGAAGAGCATAATCTGCTATGTGATGCCCAGCACGGATTTCGTAGAGGCAGATCATGCGTGACGAATCTACTATATTGTTTAGATCGCTGGACCCGGGCAGTCGATGGCAGCAATGCAGTGCACGCAGTCTACGTCGACTTTAAGAAAGCATTCGACAGTGTACCCCATCAGCGTCTCCTGTACAAATTAAACCGAACAGGCCTGAGGGGTAATCTCCTGAGGTGGATACAAAGTTTCTTGATCGGTCGCTCTCAAATCGTCCACGTCGGTGACAGGCAGTCGGCGGAGGTAGCGGTTGAAAGCGGTGTTCCACAAGGCTCCGTTCTTGGCCCTACCCTATTCATTATTTACGTCAACGACTGCGTCAGTGAACTGAATTGTGATGTCGCCATGTTCGCTGATGATGTAAAACTTTGGAGCGTCATCCGAACTGAATTTGACGAAGAGCGCTTGCAGGCAGACCTGGCCCGACTCGAGAAATGGTCACAGGACTGCCTTTTGCCGTTTAATGTGGCTAAGTGACTAAGTCGGCAGAACCCGATCTCTGAACCGGAGGGTTTACCACCTAAACGGCGTACCATTGCAGGACGTAGACGCCCAGAAAGACTTGGGGGTGTGGGTAACGGCTTCTCTAAAACCGTCGCTTCACTGCTCCAAGGTAGCCAAGTCTGCGATGTCAGTTCTTTATCTTGTCAAGAGAGCTTTCTCTACCTTCGATGAGGACTGCTTCGTAAAAGTCTTTCGGACTTTCGTACGGCCACAGCTAGAGTTCGCTATTCAGGCGTGGAAACCGTGGACCTCTAAAGATCTCAGCATCCTTGAGAAAGTTCAGAGGCGGGCAACCAAACTCGTAGGTGGACAGGGTTCACTACCCTATGAAACCCGATTGTCCAATCTCGGCCTCTTTCCACTGAATTACAGACAGCTAAGAGGCGACCTTATACAAACATTCTGTATACTGCGCGGCCAGGACTGCTGTCTCGTACCTACTGATTTCTTTGAGTTAGCGACCACAACGAACCTCCGAGGTCATCCACTTAAACTACGCGTAACTGGCGCCAAGCTGGACACTCGGAAGTTCTTCTTTTCAAACAGAGTGATCGATGCCTGGAATGCTCTGCCTGCAGGTGTCGTCATGTCCACCTCCGTCGAGGCTTTTAAGCGCAACTTGGACCAGATTGCCACCAATCGTCATAATGCCACCGGACAGATTGTCTAGCAGTTCGTTCTAACAGTTTATTAATGTTGTTATATTACTTCCTGTATTTCAGTAACGTTTGTTTTTTTAATATTGTCCCCATGTCTGTTGAATGTGTGTTGGCATTCAATTCGTCTCCCTCCGAAACTGAGATAGCACCAACTATCCCTAGACAGACTATTGTACAGCACATTTAGTAACGTTAATGTTTTTAACTCTTGGAACAATTCGTTTATCTGTCTGGCTTACAAAACGTTGCCAATCTGAAGAAACTCTGTAGCCGTTTGATGTTTTCATTTTCAATTTTTTTTTATTTTTTATTGTTCGCCTCCATGTAACAAATAGGGAGTTCAAAGGTTTAACACCTATATTTCCCTCAAATAAACTGAACTGAACTGAACTGAACAAGTTTTACTCAATACCAGAATGCAAACTTGAAAAAAACGGGCAAATGACAATTTCGTACGTGGCAAAACAGAACTATGAATAAATCTGAATTGGATAATGAGGCTATGTAGGATAAAATAGATAACAGTATAATTCTCAATAAACTGACGATGAAAGTCGTCAGTAGAGACGGTTTATCGTTTAAAATATAATGTTAGTCTATATTTTTACGAGGAAAACCTTTTGTATATGCAGGTAAGACTTGATAGGATTGAGGCCATGTTGGGTGAAAAACTGCGACAATAGATTTCCGCTTTATGACAAATCGCAGAAACACGACAGGAAAGGAAGATGACTTATGACAAAAAATAGAAAATTTTGGCAGATCTACACTGGAAAACTGTGCAAGAGATTAAGAAATTGAATCCAAAATATAACTTTCACTTATCCTTTCAAAATCCGCCTCCTCTCCTCAAGACGGTCAGAGCACTACAATGTCCAGTATGAAAGCCTCATGAGCAGATGCAATTCCAGCCGAAGGCTAGGAGCATGGTGACCCACAACTCATGAAAAGCTTACCCTACTGTCCCAGGTGATGTGGCGACAAGGACAAAGCTTTTGAGGTTTCCCAGATTCCATCCTCGTGCACATTTGCAAACACAGGGAGGACCAGGGATTATAGGATAATCAGAGAGGCATCTTCCTCTTCAACCTTGAGAGGGAAGGTGCTTGTCCGTATACTATTCAATTGCATTGTAAACATGGCCTAACTAAACGTAAGTCAGATGATATTACTAGTCAGTCGTTACCCGTTGTAATTGGTCGGCAGCTTAATCTGTCTGCACTTGACCACTGCAATAACTTTATGCTAAAGTTTGGCTCTTTGCTGACAATTCTTGGACATTTATTCGACGGGAACATCTCCGATATTCCCTCTGAAGAATGTAGGCGTCTCGACTCACTTGTTCACCTGATCGCCAGTGAATCTAGTGATAGACAGAAGCGTTCTTACAACTTCCTGGCTCGGCCAATTGATGTTGCGACCAGTTTCCTGTATTCATGTGGTTTCAACTATAAAATAGCTGATGCCAAACGCTTGTCCTCCCGCAGTACAAATCCACCCATCTTAGTCAAATTGTTTTCATCAATCGAAGTTGACACAATCTTTACTCATCGAGAGCGTATCACTGCGTACCTAGAGAAGGCAAAATTTTTCCTTTGTCATGATTTTACTCCTATGGAGCGTAGAATCGGGTCTCTCCTCTCACGTTAACCCACTGCTTCTCAGTCTAATGCTCTCCAACTCGGTCATAATACAAGTGGCCGTGAGGATTTAGCTTGTCCTACTTCTGAGACATATGACTCCCTCCTTCCCCTTACTCCTACATCTCCATCTCACTCAAGCCACTTGACGCATTTGCCTGCCCTTAAACTTGCAGCAGTAGCAGCAGCAGCAGCAGCCCATTTATCGTTTCGTATCCTCCGGATAGCCCCGCTGAGACACATTAAAATCCGTATACATCAGCTAGACCGATAACTTCTCTTGTCCAACTGAGTGCTGTAAGGTCTACAGTTAAGTCACCCGTGGCTTGGAGTCAGAAAGGTGAGACTCGAAAACTGAATCACACTCCGACCCAAAAGATAGTTAGAACAGTTCCATTTAGGGGTACGCCGCCTTCTCTTAGATCTACCCGTCTACTAGTATTTGGGTCGTTCCTCCCTTCCCCACTCCTCGGCTGGGCTTGAAGCGTACTGTGGCCGATCGCGTCTGGGTTCCTCTCGTCTGGCCTCTTGGACGCGAATAGTCTCATACGGCGTATCGATCCGGCCCAGACGATGTCAGTTGTGAATCCCGTATACAATACCACATGCATGCCAGTCCTGTCTGACCCGCACAGGTACCCCTCAAGCTGACATTTATTGCTCCCCTGACGATGTCCGACTGTAATCCGTTATATACCGCCACATACAGGCCAGTCCTGCCCGCATCACTCTGTCATTGTTTTTTATTGAGGGGTTCTTTTCTCCTGTAAAATTAATCCAATCATTTTTAACTTTTTGTATGGAGTTTTTTTTTCACCCCACACTAATCACTTTTCTCAATGGACTACTAATTCAGAAACTATGAATTGCATTTTGTAAAGATTCTGTCGATCTCGTCTAAAATTCGCATGTAAATTTATTTTTACTTGCTTTGATGGGACTCCGGCGCTGTGCACTCGGGAACTACCGCGGGACCACCGGCACAAGAACAGCAGGAAAGATGTCAGGAGATAAAGACCACTCCTCAACCGCCTTTGGGAATCTGATGAAAGCTTTCGGAACCGTGGCTCACGATTAACTGTGGAAGATCATGCTAAATTCGGATATCTGGAACGCTTCAAGCAAATAGTGCGTCAACTCCACGACGGAATGATGGCTCGCGCCACGGAGGATAATAATGTGAAGCAGGGCTACGTAGTTGTTCCCACCTCATTCAGTCTGGTGTTTTCAGCCATGCCGATGAGCGCTCACAGTGAAGAAAGATCGGGTATCAGCATAAATAAACGAAATGCCAGAAAACTGTTCAACATTCATCGTACGTAGACATCTTCGAGATTGCACAAGGCCAGCGTCCACGAATAATTATTCGCAAATGGTCGCGCGCTATGCATCACACGGCGGAGTGTGTTTTGTCGTCTTCGGTCGCTCTGACTGTGGACTGACCATCAGCACACAAAAGACAGTAATCCTACACGGACCGGCGTCAAATACCAACTACACCAAAACCCGTATCAATGTCAGTGGAACGCACCTCATAAAAGTGAACAAGTTCGCGTACCTGGTGAGTACAGCTTCACAAAAGGCCAAAATCGTAGAGAAAATCACAAGTCGGATCTCCAAAGTCAGGCAAGTCTTCGGCCAGTCCAGGCACTCCGTCTGAAACATTTACGGCATCCGACTCAACGCAAAACTGTAGATGAACAGGACTGTTATGGGACGGAGGCTTAGACTATCTACGAAAGTTAAAAATTTCACTTCCGCTGCCTCCGGAAAGTACAAAACGTGATTTGACAGGAAAGGATCCCAGACACTGGGACCCTGGAAAGAATCAGCGGAACAACAGCGTGGTGAGGACGCATGGTGGCTGTGGGAGGTCGAATACGAAGCGGACAAAAGAGTCACTACAAGTACCTGCAAATCGACCATTATATCTCCGTCTACTTGCTTTGAATTGAATGCTCTGTGCTGCATGAAAGTGTACATCTGTGCACTTTGCTGCCTGGAAGGCGTGAGTAGGACTGAGATCAGTGTGTAATAAATGCATTATTTCCTAATTTTTGCGTTCTCCGTATGTAGATTGCTAGTACCCAACTTCCCTCCCACAAGCGTACGGTGCGGTAGTGGATTACAAGGGAATCTAAACGATGACTTTTACACGAAGACACGAATATGTAGTCAGCCGTACTTCGAACAGTAGGTGAGTAGCCGTTTGTGCGAGTCCCAGATTGTGAGCTTCGGTATTTACGCGGTTTAGTGGAAGCGCCTTCGCAAATCGTCATTCCTACTGGGAACATAGTAGTGACCGTAGGAGTGACATTGGCAGTAGCAGTGGCGTTGGTTGTAGTAATGATAGTAGTGGTGGCGATGGAAGGAGTAGAAGCAGCGGCAGCGGGAGTAATAGTAATAAATGAATTATAATAATCATATTAAAACTTGGGCCGAGCTTGAAACGATTTGACTCGAAGGGTCTACCCTGCGATTACCAGTTACTGTCTGCGAGGTCAAAAAGTCGAGAATAGTGCTAGTTTGGACCTGGAACCCTGGCAATTTGTCTTTAAAACAATGCTACTCGAATGAGACAAGTACTGTCTTAATGGCGATGATGTTTATTGTTGTATCTAACGTGCTGACATGTAATCAGTTGGGCTTTCAGAGGCCCTGCCTATTATCCTTA